AGCCCTTAGATAAATAACTTTTAGCTCTCACAAGCTAAAGAATGGCCCAGGTTAAAAGTTTATTATGCTTTTGGTCTGAAGAAAAAAAAAAAAACATTTTGGTCAATAAATCACCAGACGGGCACTAGTAACCCTGAGTAAAAGTTCAAACATCTTGCTTTGCAAACAGCCCTTAACTGGTACCAGCTAAAAGTCGCATGTCCTGTTTCTCATCTAATTGTTTCCCAAATCTTTGTATGGAAATGGCAAACCACGGGTGACTGAAAGTTCTTTTTATTGTATAAAAGCTTACTGAATTTTTCATTAAATGTTTTGCTGCAAGAGACACAAGTCCCAGAGTCAGACCCTGCACCACTGAACTCACCTCCCAGAGTAAGGCCCTCACAAGGTGGGTCCCCTACAATAAGGGTCTAATTTCATTCTTCTATAGGTGGAGATTCAGTTTTGACAGCATCATTTGTTGAAGATGATGTCATTCCTCTATTGTGTGTGTGTGTTCTTGACACATTTGTCAAATATCAGGTGGCTGAAACTACATGTACTTATGTTTGAGCCTTCTATTGTGTTCCATTGATCTATATGTCTGTTTTTGTACAAATAAAATGCTGTTTTTGTGCAAATAACATGCTGTTTTTATGACTAGAGCTCTGTAATATAGTCTGAGATCTGGCATGCTGATCCCCCCAGGATTGCTCTTTATGCCCAACATTGATTTGGCTATCTGGGGTCTTTTATGATTCCATATGAATTTTGGGATATTTTTTGTAGCCCTGTAAAGAATGTCATGAGGATTTGGATTGGGATTTAATTGAGTCTGTAGATTGCTTTTGGCAGGATTTATTTTCACAATATTAGCTCTACAAGTCCATGAGCATAGGAGGTCCTTCCATCTTCTGGTGCTGTCCTCTCTCTCTTTCTTTAAAGATTTAAGTTTTTCATTGTAGAGATCCTTAATGTCTTTGGTTAGATTTAGTCTTAGATTTTTTTGAGGCTATTGTGAATGGGAGGGTTTCCTTGAATACTTTTTCTGATTGCCTGTTACTGGCATATAGAAAGACTACTGATTTTTGTAAGTTGATTTTGCATTAATTCTTTCTAGCTGTTTTCTGGTGGAATTTTTGTGATCTTTTGTGTATAATATCATATCATTTGTAAATAGTGATAATTTCACTTCTTTTCCAATTAGTATTCTTTTAATTTCCTGCTCTTTTCTTATTACTCTCTTAAAGCACTATATTGAAAACGAGTGGAGATAGTGGGCAGCCTTTTCTGGTTCCTGATTTTAATAGAAATGTTTCTAGTTTTTCTCCATTTAGAATGATGTTGTATGTGGGTTTGTTGAATATAGCTTTAATTATGTTGAGGTATGTTCCCTCCAGTTCGATTACCTCTAAGACTTTTAACATGAATGCATGCTCAATTTTGTCAAAGCCTTTTCTGGATCTATTGAGATGACCAGGTGATCTTTGTTTATTAAGTCCATTTATATTATTTATTACATTTATTGACTTCCCATGTTGAACTATACCTGCTCGAATAATGTCAACTTCATCATGGTGGATGTTCTTTTTGATGTGCATCTGTATGAGGTTTGTAAGTATTTTCTCCAGAATCTTTGTGTCTATGTTTACTCCTGTAGTCCCAGCACTCGGGAGGCAGAGGCAGGTAGATCTCTGTGAGTTCAAGGCCAGCCTGATCTTAGTATTAGAGTTATATTGGCTTCCTAAAAGGAGATTGGGAGTTCTCCCTCTGTTTCTATATTTTTAGTAATTTATGAGGTATTAATTATCCATTAAAGAGGTATTAGATATCCATTAAAGAGGGCCATTGATTGGTTTTCTCCCTTGTCAGCTTGCATCCTTTCACACCATAAGAGCTAGTCTTCTGGGAGGAGGCTACCAGATAAATTCCACTTGATTGTTCCAAGTCCTGTGTCCAAAATGTAGTGTGTCTTTATCAATAGGGTCTTACATTCAAGCTATTGGAGGCAATAAAGGGTTGTAGCTAAATAGCCTGTGTTATTTTGGAAGTTTCTTGGACCACCCTGGCCAATAACTGGAAGGGAGGCTTCTCCTGCCTGACACTGTTTCTTTTTATATAGCCTTTAGCAATACACATGTACTTTTATATTTAATGTATATGTATTTTTCAGTAGGACTTTGAGCTAATACATTTCCCTTGGGATTTTCTTATCATTTAAACATTATTTATCTCTCCTCTCTCTCCCTGCACAAACCTCACTACTCCCTTACCAGCTAAAGTAGTCACCCTTTTTCCTATTTTCCCCTTAATACAATCTGTCTCTTACTATCCCCTCTTGCTTGAGCTCCTTCTTCCCCTTTACCCCATGGTTCCATACCATTTTCCTGACTCCTGTGGTTACATCAGGAGATATACTAACATCTAAGCACTTATTTTTCTGAGTCTGTATTACTTCACTTAGTATAAAAATTTCTAGTTCATTTACCTTAAATTTCATGTTTTTATTTTTCTTTGCCACTGAGTCGAACTCCATTTTGTAAATGTGTCACATTTTCATTATCTATTCATCAGTTGAGGAACGTTTAGGTTCTTTATATTTCTTAACTATTGTGAAAAGGACAGCAACAAACATGGCTGCGCAGGTATCTCTGCAGTAGGATGACTTTGTTGGGTATATGCCAGGGAGTGGCATGACAAGATCACATAGGGAATTGATTTTTAGTTTTTTAAGTGGTCTCCATACTGATTTCCACAATGGTTGCACCAGTTTGCAATCCCACCTGCAGTGGATGAGTTCCTCTTTGCCCATTTCTATGCCAGCATTTGGTGTCACTGGCTCTCTTAAACTTAGCCATTTTATCTGGGATTGGATGAAATCTTAAAGAAGTTTTGATGTGCATTTGCCTAACTACTAAAGATTATGCACACTTTTTGAGGTGTTTCTTAGCCATTTTTATTTCTTCTTTTGAGAATTCTTCAGATCCATAGCTCACTTTTTTTATTATTTTATTACTTTTATTTTGTGTATATGAGTGTACTGCCTGAATGCGTGTAAGTGCACCCATGTTGTGCAATGCTTGAGGAAGTCAGAAGAAGATGTAAGATCCCCTGGAACTGGAGTTACAGTTGTTCGCAGCCATGTGGGTGCTAAGAATTAAACCTGGGACCTCTGCAAGAGCCACTAGTGCTCTTAACCAGTCAGCTCTCTCTCCAGCCCCCATAGCCCATCTTTTAAATGGGTCATTTGTTTTCTTGCTTCATTGTGTTTTGAGTTCTTTGTATATTCTTGTTATTAATCCTCTTCCAAATGAATATTTGATGAAGATTTTATCTCACTCTGTGTGTTTCCTCTTCATTTCCTTAGTTGTTTCCTTTACTGTGGAGAAGCATTTTAATTTAATGAGGTCCCATTTGTCGATTTTTGACCATAACACCTGAGCAACTGAGATCTGATTTAGAAAGTCTTTCCTGCATCTATAATTGTAGTGTACTGCCTTTGATTTCTCCTAACAAATTCAGAGTTTCAGGATTCACATTGAGATCTTTGAGCCATTGGGAGTTGACATATGTGCAGAGTGATATATATGGGTCTAGTTTTATTCTTCTACATGTGGAGATCCAATTTCCAGCATCATTTGCTAAAGATGCTGCCTTTCCTTCAGGGTGTGTTCTTGGCGCTTTTATGAAATATCAGGTGGCCGTAACTGCGACCATTCATGCTGGGTCTTTTATTTTGTTCCATTGATCTACAAGTCTTTTTTGTGCCAATAACATGCTGTTTTGACTATGGTTTTGTAATATTGGTTTGGTTCAGTATGGTAATCCCTCCAGCACTGTTCTTTGTGCTCAGGATTGCTTTGGCAATCTGAGACCTTTTCTGTTTCCATAAGAATTTTATGATGGATTTTTCTATTTTTGTGAGGAATGTTGCGGGGATTTTGATTGATATTGCAATGAATCTGTACGTTGCTTCTGATAAGATGGTCATTTTTACCAACTCTTGAACACAGGCGTCTTTCCATCCCCTTGGGTCTTCCTCAATTTCTTTCTTCAAAGATTTAAGTTTTGTTGAATAGGACTTTAATGCCTTTTGTTAGATTTATGTCTAGTTTTTTTTTTATTCTATTATGATGGAGTTTAAATTCTCAAGATTTGTCCTAAAACTATTTTTATTTATTTTAACTTTTAGTGATACAACTTTGAATACCCTTCCATAAAATCACACACCAATCAACCAAAATTCCATATTGTAGAAGAAATAAGCAAATTTTACTTCAACCCAGAATACAAATTACTACTATTTCAATCTGATTCTTTCACTCTCTAAAGGACATTCCATTGCTATAATGGTATGCACAGAACTGGTTCCAGGCTGTTACTGGTACAGCTCTTGTTCTTTCACAGATTCAAATGACTCATATTTAGATATGTTTTCTTCATTTATTTTGCTCATTTCAGAATTTACTAGTAAATTCTTTAATTTATCATATAAAAGTACTGGGAAATTATTGGATAAGAAAAACTAACAATGCACTTTCATCGGGAAAGCATCCACATACAAAGAAGTTGAACAAATAAGGCCATTCATTCAAGCCATGTCCTGCTCCACACAAAATAGAGGGTTTATTGGACTCCCTACAGAAACTTAGGAAAACTAGAGGAGAATAATGAAGTATTTCTCAAATGACAAATTAAGAATTCATCTATGAGTGCTTGCTATGTGTTTTCTATGACAGTTATTAGCTTGAAACAATGAAATTGTATTATAATTTAAGTTGTTATATCACACAATAAAGCTATTATTTCAGGAAGTGCCAACCTCTGACAGCATTATGATAATACATTTTCAAAGCAGAGTCCATATACTGGTTCATATTATCCAAGAATAACCCTTGTCAAGCAACATGACGTTTTGAAAGAACTTGAAAATGAAGAGGTTCGTGACACGGATGTGCTATGGGGGAAGCATGCATAACTGTTCTCTCATTGTTGACTATTTAATCTGCTGTTACAAACTTTTACTTTGAACTAAAAATGCTCTTAGCCAGGCTCCCTAAAGCCCCCTTGACATCCTTATTCCTTAGGGTGTAGATGAATGGGTTCAGTGTTGGAGTCACCACTCCATAGAAGAGACTCATGAACTTGGGCTGGTCCCTTGTGATAGAGGAGGGGGGCTGAAGGTACATGCTGATGGCTGGACCATAAAATAAGAGAACTACAATGAGATGAGAAGAACAAGTCCCAAAGGCCTTCTTCCTTCCCTCTGAAGATTTAATCTTAAGTACAGCATATCCAATACTTGCATAAGAGGCAAGAATTAAGCACAGAGGTACAGCTATCATAAAACTGCACACCACAGCAAGAGCAAGTTCATTGGCTTCCTTTTCCCCACAGGCTGCTTTGATCAGAACTGGAATCTCACACACCAAGTGATCCAGTTTATTGTGGCCACACAAGGGCAACTGCAATGTCACAGTGGCCTCTGAGACAGCATAGGAAATTCCAATCAGCCACACAGTGGACACTAACAGGGGGCAGATGCGCTGATTCATGATGAGGGTGTAGTGCAGAGGTCTGCAGATGGCCACATAACGATCGAAGGACATAAGAGCCAGGAGAAGACACTCTGTGCCCCCCATTGTATGGTAGACATAAAGCTGAAGTGCACAGCCCATGTAGCTGATGGTCTTTGTGGAGCCTCCCAGGTTAAACAGCATCTGAGGCACAATGCTTGTGGTGTAGCACATGTCCAGAAAGGAGAGATTGGTGAGGAAGAAATACATGGGACTATGGAGATGGGGGTCTAATCTAGAAACCAAAATGATGGCAATGTTCCCCATCAAGGCCAGGGTGTATGTTACCAGAAGAACAGCAAAGAGAGGGAGCTCCAGCCAGGGACGGTCAGCAAAGCCTAGGAGAATGAACTCTTCAGGGCGGCTCTCATTGATGACTGCCATTCTCTACAATATGATTCACCTGTAGTGAGGAAGTGTCAAGGCAGTTAGTGTTGAGGAAGGGACCATGTCTCATGACGTTTGATTGTGACTCATAGATGACAGGTTAAGGATTCTAAGGCTGAAATAACAGAAGGGAGGGCCCTGGCAGAGGACTCAGTCAGTAAAGGGCTTCCTGCCCAAGCAAGAGGACCTGAGTTTACCTCTAGGACTAAAGTAATAAAGCTGGACAGGGCAGCCCATTCCTGTAACGCCTGTGCTAGGAAGCAGAGACTAGAGGGTCCCAAGGCTTACTGGTCAAATAGTCTAGCTGAGTTGGGGAGCTCTGGGTTCAGTGGGAAACCATGTCTCAAGAAATAAGTTAGTGAGCAAATGCTAAGAAGACAATGGTCTCTGGTCTCCACATGCATGTGCACACACATGCACACAGACAACACACCCAAAACACAAAAACATGTATACATACATAACATAAATAATCTGGCAACTGGTGATTTGCATTAAATTATGATCCTAAAAATTAAAGTTAGTTATCTTAACCAAATGTCTTCCTGTGTCTAGGGGTCTGACAGCACATGTGGCCCAAGGCTGAGGAATTCATTTTAACAGCAATGCAGAAGGCATTACTGAAATGTCACATAAACATGCCCAGGAATCAGGAAGAGGAGGAGGAGGAGGAGAGAGAGGAGGAGGAGAAGAGAATTGGAACTGATTGTGGAAGACTGGCCTAACCTGCTCCATCTACTCATCTGAATCATCAAATCTTTTCTAAGGATAAGAATGTTAATATCATTTTTCATATTTGTGCAGTTATCAGTGGCCCATTATTTTATGAATTGAAAGACTTAAGTTACAGTTACAGTGTTTTTCTCCTTTTATTTTTATTTATGTGCTTTTTTGCATAACAATTCAAGGTTTGGCATTCATCTTTCATGATAAATTGTCTGTAATTTATTCATTGTTAGAGATATTCCTTTATCAATAGAGCTTAATGCTTTCTTTTATAAGAATTTGGTCAACCTTCAGGGACACACTGATTTTCTGTATCCACAAATATATTTTTTAACTCTGGGAACTCCTGTCAACAGATATCCCAAATGAGACACGGTAACACCCAAACTTGATATTTTGCATTTCTACGGTATATTTCTTTAATTTTTAGCTAAAGTGTGCATTAATACAACAAAATCAAATAGCAATGTAAAGCAACACTTTGAAAAATTAAAAATAATTATTTACACATTTAATATCTTACTGTTTCAGGAAAACCAGTCTTCTCTGAGCTAAGCAATATTGAAACATGCAAATCCAGGTTCCTCATCTACCAGTAATCTGCTTCATGCTGTTTTCTTGGGATTAGATTATTTTCTGAGAGTTAGGAGCAGATTTCACAGTCATTGTTTCACTGAAAGCTAATCCTACCCTATGAGGTGCCGTACGGAGCCTCTGAGACTAAGGGATGAATGATGCCTTTTGATAATTATCATCCTGTCAAATGCATGCATTACCAGGATAGAAAATTAATAAGCAATGTCATAATAAAATCATAATTCCAGCAGCTTCTCAGTGAGCCCATTTTAATGAGCACTCTGACAAACTTCCCCCATGCTTTAAATCCTTTAGTACTCATCCTGAAATACTATGGGACAGGGCATTTTATATCCGTACTTCGAGTGCTTAAGTGGGGCTAGAGAAATAGCTCAGTGGTTAAGACCTTGGTTGAATTCCCAGCACCCACATGGTAGCTAACAAACATCTGTAACTCCAGTTCTTACCTACATGTCACCCTGTTTTGATCTCCACAAGTTTTGCATGACACGAGTGTACATACATGTAGTCAATACACTCATGCACATAAAATAAAAATAATAAATAAAATATTTTAGAATGTGTTAAGTGCTTAGTGTGACAGTCTCCTAATAACTGGAGTATCTTGGGGATCAAGAAGTACCATTAGCTGGTGGCGCATGCCTTTAATGCCTTCAATTAGGAGGTGGAGGCAGGCGAATCTCAGAGTGAGATCAAGGTCAGCCTGGTCTACATAGTGAGTTCCAGTACAGCTGGGGCTCCAAGAGATGTTTTTATAAAATACCCCTACCCAAAAATTACTTTTGCCTAAAGTGTGGTGGATGAGGTGGCTGACTTGACTCCATAGAAGACTCCTGGCTCCAAGGACTTGAGGAGTATGGTTTCTGCACTGTGAGCCTGACTGTACTAATTTGAGCATTGATGACTTATGATGTCTTGGCTTAAATTCTTCTTCCTAATGAATTTCTGAGTTGTAGTCAAGATATGAAATAAGAATATTGTATCAAGTATTCTGATTTAAGAATAGATAGTCAAAGAAATGCATACTGTTCACATTCTTGAAACGTGTGAGAGAACAGTTCCTAGCTGCTCAGGTAACAGTACTGCAATGCCAGTTTTCAAGCATGAATAAGTCATTTATTTTCTAAAGAGCAATTTTTAGGTTTCATCTCCATGAATTCTTCCATAAAGAAATTCGTTATTTTCTAATATCAGTATTTAGTCCACTATGCATTCAGAAAGTTTATTAAGCCTTGAATTTTGGATTTTTCTCCCATTTAGTCAACTAATAAGTATCACTTTAATAAGGGTGATGATCACCTGAGCCTCTTTCCCCTTCTCATTTCCCAGAGACTAACATGACTCATCTTCCTGTATATTTACGGTTTATTCCTCTGTCCTCAGATTCTCAGATTTTTGGTTATTCTCACGATGTTTCATAGTTCAGCTCTTGAATTCTATGACTTTAGATTTTCTTATTCGATTATTTATTATATGAGCAATACACACATACACATAAAATAAAAATAATAAATTTTTTTTAAAAAAGAATATGTTTCTCAAGAGGTGTCTATAGTCTCGGATCAATAGGGAAGTTCCTGTGGCTGCTGCTCACGTCTCACGTTTTCACACCAGTGTATCTCATTCACACTGCAGTTTGATCATTCATAGCATTTAATTTATATTTATATTCATAGTACATATTAGCTTTAGCTTTGTATATGGTAAGGCCATGAGAATAAATGATATTTTCTTTTTTACCAGAGACTATAGCATTGGATGAAATACATGAACAAGTCAATTTCTCGTGATTTGAACATGGTTTTAAAAGATCAAATGATTGGTTAGATTCTTCATATTTCATTTAGGCATTAACTATCCTTAGAACATAGTGTTCATAGAAATTTAAATCCTTTTAAGTTTGGCTTATGTAATGGACTTTGAAAGAGATGAATTACAAATGAATGCCTCTTTATTCCTAGAGCCACTGAAATGGGTATTTTCAAAACTTACGAACACTCCCTGAAATGAAGCATTTTACATTTCCTGTGTGTATTAGATAGTGTGAGCTATGCATGTTCTCCTTTCCCCGGGGATGCATCCTGACAGCACAGCTGTTTTCCTTACCTTATTGTGATAAATATTCTTCATTTAAATAGAATTATGAAGAAAGAGCCTTGGATTTTTCACTTTCTTGGAGGACAGAGAATGTCTAGCATGAATATGAGCATTTATGACTGACTTCAGGACTCTGTTTTCTAGTTCATGCCCAGGTGCCAAAGAGAAATAAGCCCAGGTTAGGAAGAGAATAGCAGAAAACACCAGGAAGATTCTGTGGCTGAGGCATTTGTATGCTGCTTTGAGGCTCCTGGGCATTGTATCCAAGACCATTCAATTTCTCTTCCCCAAGTGCATTGGCAGAGACAGTTCCCTGGGACAGAGCTCCCTGAGGCATGCTTCTCAGGCACAATTAGTTACCTGCTGCTCTGAGTCTGAGCAGGTCTCTGTTGCTGTTGGATGTATTTTAAAGAAACTGATTCCAAGTTTTCCCAACACACTGAGCATCAACTAAAAACTACCCACTAAAGACAAGCTTTTTGAATCAGTGATTCTGAAAATCTCAAGTGAAAATTTTTATATTGTGTTATCTTATTTGACATGATGTAAGATTTAATTATCCTTAGTATAATGATAAAAGTACACAGAAGTAACAAGGGAAGTGAAGATAACATACAATGAAACATGATGAGCCCAGGTAGTCTAGAAATACTAGAAACTTCTACTAAATATGTAATATTCATCATAATAAGAAACATTAAGAGGAGAAAATAATCTGTATACATGTATACTGCATATCAAATAACACACCTACTATGCTTCCATTTAACACTTATGTTAACCTGTTATACTTTTCCTCATATATGCCATCAAGCAGTTTTAGATTTTACCCTCCATGCATTCTTGGATAATCGATGAATCTAATGCTAAGTCTTTACTCCATCCTTTCAGCACCTTCATAAACTCTGTGTTGCTTGGGCTGTTTAGATGTGGATCATAAGCTTTTGAAAGAGTTTGTGTGTGTGTGTGTGTGTGTGTGTGTGTGTGTGTGTGTGTGTTAACTTGACACAAATTAGAGATACGTGGGAAGAGTGAAACTCATTGAAGAATTTCCTCCATCAGTTTGGCCTTGGTCATGTCTATGGTATATTTTCTTAATTATTAATTAATGTTTGAGGACACAGTCCACTGTGGGGTGCCATTCCTAGACAGGGTGCCATTCCTAGATAAGTGGTCTTGCGCTGTATGAGAAAAGTGACTAAGTAAGCCAGAGTAATCTAACCAGTAAACTGTTCTTCCGTGGTCCCTGCTTCAGTTCCTGCCTCCAGGTTCTTACACTGGGTTCCCTCGATGGTGGACTGTAACATGTAATCCAAATAAGCCTTTTCTCCCAAAGTTTATTGTGCTCAAGATGTTTATCACAGCAATAGAGAAAGTAAACAAGGAAAGAAATTGGTATCAGAAAATAGGATACTGCTGTGATAGGACTGACCATGTTTGGGGAAGGATCGTGAAAGTGTTTAGAGCTTTGGGCTGAAAAAGTCACTGAGTGTTCAGAGTTCAGTGAGCTGTACTCTGGAAGGAAGGGAGGTAAGAATTCTGAGAGAGATGTGGACAACTGAGGCCCAGCTTGCGTA